AGGGGAGAAGAGTAAGCAAGAGGTGGTGTGAATGCAATATAGTTTACAATTTAAATGATGTTAATAAATAGAACATATATATATCACGTTGTTAGTGGACATACCAATTTTTTATATTACATACACATATAAACAAAGATTGGAAAGAATCTAGAATAATTTAAACTGTTAACTGGGATGTTTTTCTATAAAATTGTGTAATTACATAATAAAGAACACTTTATTTTTTAAAAATATGAGAAATCGTCCATTACAAACTGCATAGTACACCCAGGAAAGTAATTAAAAGGTGATGCCCTGCCCTGGCCAGTGTGAGGGCATCGACCTGTGAACTAAAAGGTTGTGGGTTCAATTCCCAGTCAGGGCACATACCTAGGTTGTGGGTTCAATCCCTGGTCTGGGCACGTATTAAAGGCAACCAACACACATTGATGTTCCTCTGTTTCTTTCTCTCTCTCTCTCTCTCTCTCCTCCCCTTTCCCTCTCTCTAAAATCATTATGCATATCCTTCTGATATTCTAAATAAGTTAGTTTTTCTTAGTTCCAAATATGCAGAAAATGAAATGATACCTCAAAATTGTATCAACTAAGTTCATTCATTCTGACATTCCTTTCATAATTGAAAATTGCAATTGTTCTCTGTATAAATTAAAATGTAGTTTATATCATTTATAACATTTGCTGCACATGAGAGAGTCCCAAATCTGGCTTTGTATCCAATTACCTAGGGAACTTTTTATTTATTTTTTAAATCTTTATTGCACCCGGGGAACATTTTTTTTAAATATATTTTATTGATTTTTTACAGAAAGAAAGGGATAGAGAGTTAGAAACATCAATGAGAGAGAAACATCGATCAGCTGCCTCCTGCACGCCCCCTACTGGGGATGTGCCCATAACCAAGGTACATGCCCTTGACCAGAATCGAACCTGGGACCCTTCAGTCCGCAGGCCGACGCTCTATCCACTGAGCCAAACCGGTTAGGGCACCTGGGGAACATTTTAAAAATAAGTTCCTGGGCCCTGGCCATGTGGCTCAGTTGGTTGAGAATCATCCCATGCACTTGAGAGGTCAAAGATTCAATTCCCAGTCAGGGCACATGCCTGGGTTGTGCGCTCATCCCCAGTAAGGGTGTATAGGAGGCAGCTGATCCATGTTTCTCTCTCATCAATGTTTGTCTCTCTCTCCCTTCCTCTCTCTCTAAAAATCAATAAAAACATATTTTTAAAAAATAAGTTCCTAGGTCCCATCTCCTGGAGATTTTGATTTGGAAAGTCTGGAGTGCCAGGAGTCAGTATCCTATATAATAAAAGGCTAATATGCAAACAGACTGAATGGCAAAACGACCGGTTGCTATGACACGCACTGACCACAAGGGGGCAGATGCTCAATGCAGGAGCTGCCCCCTGGTGGTCAGTATGCTCCCACAGGGGGAGCGCTGCTCAGCCAGAAGCCGGGATCACAGCTGGGGAACGCAGTGGCGGTGGCAGGAGCCTCTCC